AGCATTACCCCAGTACCCACAGCATTACCCCCATCACCCCCTCCCTCCATCACCATCACTCTCACCGTCATCACCCGCCTCTCCCTCTCACCGTCATCACCCCCCTCTTCAAGCAGCTACCCCATACACATAGGGTACCAGACAAAAAACGCAAACATGCTCACAGAGACATACATTCACACACACACAGATATACTCTCTGTCAGGCACATACACAGGTAAACTGTGCATGAATGTGTATATGTGACAGTGTGCATGTATTGACAGTGTGCATCTATTTTTTTCACTTTTGTTAGTGGGGCCTCATGTTTGAGTTTCGCCTAAGGCATCATAAAGTCTAGAGCCGCCTCAGAAGAAAAAGAAGACTGTGTCAAGTGAAGGAGAAGAAAATGAGATTGGAGCACTTCATTCTGGACACCACATCATAAGGCTTTGGTACCTGGGCCTGGCAGGGAAACTTTGGACCTTCTCATCTCCCCAGGTAAAAAAAAATTATCAGTGTTAATGTGTTCACTTTAATTGACTGAGTGTCAGGAAACACAGAGGGCCGCTGGGTAGGGGTGCCACTGATTGGCTAGAGGATCAGCCGGCACTCTAAGCCAATCAGTAGCTCCCCATTCATGAAAATGTAAAACATTTTTATGAATCGGGAACTAGCAATTGGCTTAGAGCGTCAGCTGACCACTAGCCAATCAGCAGCACCCATGCCTGACGTCAATCTGCACTTCCTGACACTCCGTTTAAGAAGCTGAATACCACTGAGCGACCTGGAGATCTGGAGCTGGAGGAAGCCTTTGGGGTTAAACCATTTGAGAGTGGTTTCACCCCTTAAAGGAAAGAGAGTGCCCAGGGGCCTCCTTGCATCATAGCATTTTCATTTAGTTGAAGTTGTTATGGTGACCAGAATGTTCCTTTAATTTGATTAAAGGAACACTATAGTGTCAGGAATACAAACATATATTCCTGACACCATAGTTGTAAAAAAGCTATTCACCCTGGCTTTATGTGAAAATGACAATGCTCCTTCCCTTTCATGACACTGTGAAAAAGGGGCCAAGCATGGATGTCATTACAATTATGCCCCCCCCCCCGGAAAAAAATTCCTGCAGACGCCCATGCACAAGCCCTGTCTGCCTGGGATACAATTAACTAAGACAATGGGCTAACTCAATTAACTCTAAACAGAAAAAACATGCATTTTTACAAACCCCAAAAATTACCCCAAAATACAACACATCCCCTGATAGTCATGATCTGGGTGAACAACAAATCCAAAAATCACCCAGATTGGTTCAGGAATTTCCTAGAAGTCTTATTTTTGCCCCACTGTGCACATGGTCCCATGCCCAAAACAGTTCCATACACTCGACGGCAAAACACTGCTGGACAATTTCAGATGGCCGCCACCACATGTTGAATCTGTTCCAGTTGAAAGTCCAAGGGGCAGAAACAGTGCCTTTAAAATCCAATATGCCCAAATAGTGTTTTTAAAGGGAAATATATCCCAGGTGCTTTTGTCACAAGAGGCTTCTCTCTTATCTGTCAAACTCTTTTTTTAGTGGTTTTATAACCTCAGGGGCACTCTTCCTGCCCCCTAAAGTTTGCCCCTCTCCCCAGTTGAAGCTCAGAGGATGCAAACATTAACTACTGTCCAACTTGAAATGATACTGCAGCTTTAAAAGGTCCAAAGCCTCATCCATCCCTCCAACAAGAAGGCCACTTATTTTACTCAGCTCTACCCACCCACCCCTCCTCCTGCCCACTCTGGTTCCTAACTATATAGCATGCACCGCCAGCTGTTTTTAACCACAGCCAATGACCTCCTCTTTCCCTTCACATGCTATCAGCTGCTGCAGTGATACCATTAACTCTCTTTGCCATCACATAAAAATTCCTCTGCTACCTCTTGTCTTATCTCCCCATTTTAACCTTTAGATTGTAAGCTCACGGGCAGGGTCCTCTACCTGTTGTATCGGTCTGTTCTTATTGTGTTTGTCTTTTTCCCAATTGTACAGTGTTGCGGAATTTGTTGGCGCTTTATAAATGTCAGTAATAAATAAATAAATAGGATGGAAGAGTCATCACCTATTAGGTTATGGCATTGGAAAGAATACAAACTATGAAAGAGATATTCCTAACAGCAAAAGAGTGAGGCGTTAAAAATCATGTGGGCTGACTGCAGGTTAGGGCACAAAGCTAAAGGGGTGCTAAAAGGTGTGCTAAAAGGTCCCCCCATAATCTTTCCTATGTGTATCGGGTGAGGGGTTGAAATTTGGAACTGGTGGGCAGCATCCTCCCAACTTGATAACCTAAGCTATGAAATGGTGGAGTAAAAGACCTCCACCATTCTATAGTCCAGGAGGTCAGGTTCGAAGGGTGGAGGAGAGTAGCTGCTCCCTTACTGCAATTTTATGCTTCTCATCAATCTACTAAGAGGCAGAGGGAGACCACTTGACTGGTATATATCTGGTACCAGGACAGGAGCTGGTCATTCATATTGAAATTGTTTTATTTTTGGGGGGTTTTCTAATTCAAACAGAAAAACAGACACCCAAAAAAATGCATTTGTCCAAATGCTCAGGTTTATCTGCTACAGCTTAAAATAAGATCTATCATAGTGTCAAACATATTCACTTAATTATCATACCAAAATAATTCTGCTGTATATATTATTCTTTACCAATTCTGTGTGCTCCGACATGTATTTCTATAATAATCAGGTTTTCATTTGTCACAGTAGGGATGAAAATGGAAAGATTGTATTTAACATATATCAAATTTGAAACTGCACATTACAATAGTTTCTCACGTATAATAATGCAATTAGTTCAGTCTCACCATACATAATGTTCACCCAGAATAAATCCTGTGGAATCAGCAGTTCTTGAGAGGTAACTGAAGTTTAAATACATGACAGGTGTATAGTCGCCATTTTGGGCAGTCGGAATCCAGGACAATTACCCCATAACCTAACCCAATAACACACGGACACTAAGGGATATGGGGAAATTTGTCCACAGCTTTATTAAGCAAACAATAATAATAATAACTTAACAAGTAAAACATGGGTCATTGCCCCCCATACTCCGCCCTCGCATCCTATTCCTTCCATTAACATATAAAGGGCAATGACCCCCATATAAATAACACATATATATATATATATATATATATATATATATATATAAACATACATCAACATTATTCCAATCGATGTAAAGTGCCAACCATCCATTAGCCACGGCAGGGGTATACCCGGATACCCCTACCCCACCAGGTTCTGAGCCACCGACAGGACTCGAAACCTATCAACCACCGATGACCACCACTTGTTTATTTTCCATTACGTTCATCCTGGGGAGCCTATTTCCTTTCCTTCAGCTCCCCATCCCGCCGCTGTGAAAAAACGGGACAAAACCACACATTACAAAACAGGGAGGGTGGGAGGGACAAACTTAACCAGGTAGGAAATTAGAATGACTTACCTAAAATGGCTGCCCATTTAAATAACCAAACCTACTTACCCATAACTCCACTCCCTTGCTTACTTCCTCCTAAGCCCGCCTCCTAACCCCTGTCAAGGCCTTTTTTCGCTTAGCTGCGCTTGGCTACATGGGGCTACATTTACTGCAGCAGAAATCTTGCAATGCTACCTCGCAAGGAATGTGCAACAGTTGACACAGAAATAAATGAATGATTGGATGGATGCATCGGGAAGCATTAGGGGCCTACTGCGCATGCTTGAGAATCACCAGGCAGCACCAATCAGTTTCTCCTAACAGAGATGCATTACCCAAAATGATCTTTCTGGGGAACGTTTAGCGTCTTCATGCATAGCGTGAGGATGCCAAATGTTGGTTCTTCAAAGATTCCAGGAGCATAATAGTAAGCACCTTTGGTGGCTGTCTGAGATGTATTGGCTTCATAAACACTGTGTGCTATAGTGGTTATGGTGCTTAGAGTGCCTCATTTAAGTGCCTCCTTTAAGTACCTCATTTAAGTTTCAGTAAGGTTCCTGAGCCCATAACTCAAAATTCTTATTTATGTATTATTTCAAAAGTAGCCTCGAGGTAAAGAATTGGTAAATGTAATCCTCATAGGGTTAAGATTACACTGAATCCCAAAGTTTCTGGTGGCTGCTCTGGATAGGCCTGTTTTACTATAGTGCAATATAAGATTATAACTGGTGATATCAGCAGTAAAAAAAAGAATATTGTCAATACAATCAGTAAAACTGCTTCACTATTTGTTGTATGTTTGCGTTTGCTGTTTTGAGTATAAAATGCAATAAAATAACAAAACTAGTCCCTCAAGCAGGAGGAACGTTTGGAAATTTAATTATTTTGTTGAAATGCAATCAGTTAGCAATGACTGCTAAAGAAACAGATTGAATAATTCTTATGTTCTAAAAAATGACAGTAGAAGAAACACTTAATTTTATTAATGACACGGAGACTCCTATTATGCTATCTCTTTCTTACTTTATTCCTCAGCAGCAAAGAGAAATATAAAACTGAAAGAGAAAAAAATGTAAATATGAAATATAATAACAGGTACATCCAGATCTGCCTAGTAACAGGGCAGCCAATCAGCTTAGTAGGAACAGTCCATAAATGTCTTGCTTGGTACTTCCACTTCCTCTTTCTTTGCTGCTGTCCTCAGACCAGCTAAGTATAATTTTACCTCCTGTATATTGATTGTCAGGGTGATTTTTTTTTTGCCCTGATTATTTATATTGCTTAGGCTCTTGTGATTGTATTGTTTTATTGTATTATTTGTTTTCTCTCCCCTTTGCCCGGTCTCCCTGCTTGTGCTGTATTCCTGTCAGCACAAGCTGGGATACGCGGCTCTCAGGGGAAGTGTGTTTGCACTTGGAGCTTCTGGCTCCCTGTTCCCTCCTCTAACCTCACGGCCGTGTGTGTGCGGCCACGTTATCTGCCGGCCCGATCAATCTCCTTGCACCCGCTGGTGCGAGGGAGTTCCTGGCCGCGTGTGTACCACGCGCTCCCCGGCCATTGCAGGGGAGGAGCTCCGGGTACCTGCGGCGCGCTCTGCTCACGGCGGCCATCTTGGATTATTGGCATGCACGTGGCTGGGTCTGCTCGGCGGGTCGGCTCCCTACTTACCTCCCCTTTCGTTTTCCCTTTCTGTGCAGGTATTTGTTGTGGGTTACTCAACCCCTGTTAGGTTTGTTTGTGTTAGAATACTTTCATTCTATCATTTACTGTATTACTGTCCCTGTGAGGATTTTTACAGTACATTTAGATTTTGTCTTGGGTTCACCCTTCCTGCTCTATCATGCAGGCCAGAGGTGAGGAGTCTGACAGCCCCAGCTACCCCATTATGGACCCCTTGCAAACTCCTGTCACTGGGGAAGGTGGCCTTACTCCCTCCCAGGAGTTCCAGGCCCTCATTGACTCCACCATGCAGAGGGCCTTGGCTTCGGCCATAGGATCTGTATCCTCATCCCTGTCTCACACCATTCAGCAGGCGTTGTCCCAACCCCTGCCTCCCTCTGTGGTACCCAATCCTCAGCCGGGCCGCAAAGCGCAGGCTAAACGGAAAAATGTCTCCCATGATATGATGCAGGTAACACCTGCCCTGACTGACGTGCCTATGGCCGTCCAAGATGGCACACCACCGCGCAAGAGAGCCGCTGGCCGGGCAAAATCGGCCAGAAAATGGAAAAGGGTGCTTACCCATGTTGATGATAGATCTGACTCAGATCAGAGTGAGGAGTCGTGCTCGGATGCCCATGAGTACACCTCTTATGAGGAAGGGGGCTCCGATGCTGAGGCGGGGTCTGACGCTTCGGCGCTACCTCCGGGCGAGGGGCAAGACATGTGCGATCCACAGGGTTACCCCCTGTTCGATCCTGATGATCTTCGCCATCCCCGCTCGGTGGAATGGGACCCGCCCAAGCACATGGCTAACTACCTAGCCCTCCGCATGCGCACACCTCTGTCCAAGGAGGGGCGCAGCAAACTACGGGCTGAATGCCCAAGGCCCTCAGTGCCTGATGCGGCGTGCAAGACGCCAGAGGTTGACCCTCAGATTATCCAGTTCCTGCCAAAAACGGGCTGGAAACCCAAGAAGGGACTGGAGTTCTCACTCCATAATTGCCAGGACAAAATATTAGACACCCTGGGGCCCGCTGCCAAGCTATATAAGCTATTAGAGGCAGCTAAGGCGGGGGACAACACCCTGGATTTTGATGAGGCGATAGGATGGGTGCAGAGACTGATCTGCCTTCTCGGCAACGCTAACATGGCCATGTCGGCCGAACGCCGCAAGGCGATCTTGCTCAAGATTGAGCCAAAACTAGTAAATCTAGCGGTGAAAGAACCGGGTGCTGCCGCCAAGGGTATGCTCTTCGTTGAGTCCTTTGTTAAGGACCTGGGCTCCTTTTGTGCGTACCTTCACCGCTCTGGACAAAGCCCAGTCTAACTTAAAACGGGTCTTTAGCCCAAAGGTTTTCCATGGGGCCGGGAGGTACAGGAGCCACCCGCCTGGCCGTGGAGCTCGAGGTCCCTCACAGACTCACAGAGGTTCCTTTTCTTTCCCTCACGCGGGAGACCATGGCAGAATCGAGGAGGACATGGTCAACCCTCATACAGACGCCCTTACGGTAAGTACCCCCATATGTGCGTTTTCACATTCAAACGTGGGTGGCAGACTGGCACTGTATTTCGATATGTGGGGAATGATCACCACAGATATGTGGGTTCTGAATACGGTCAGGGGTTTCCGCCTAGATCTGTTATCTCCCCCTGTCCAGGTTTTGACACCACAGGAACTGAGCTTGCTAGCAGAGCAGTCCGAGCTCATTGCCAAGGAGATCTCGGAACTTCGGGTCAAGCGGGCAATACAGGAAGTCCCGTACGACCACCCGGGGTTCCTAAGCAACCTGTTCCTTGTTGCCAAGAAGGGCGGAGGTGTTCGACCGGTTATAAATCTCAAACACCTCAACGAATTCCTCCGCTACCATCATTTCAAGATGGAAGGCATTCATTGTCTCAGGGATCTGCTTCGGCAAGGAGACTGGATGGTCAAACTGGACCTCAAAGATGCTTATTTGACTATTCCAATGGCAGAAGAACACTGGGGCTTATTGCACGTTACGTGGCAAGGATGTCGATGGAGGTTTACCTGTCTGCCCTTCGGTCTCTCTTCAGTACTTTGGTGCTTCACAAAGGTGATGAAACTGGTAGTGGCGTTCCTCGGGTCTCTGGGAGTATGCATGATTGATTATTTACCTGGACGACATACTGATTATGTCCGCGTCCCCCGAACAACTTCTACAGCATCTGGGCTGGATGGTGGATCTTCTGGAGAACTTAGGTTTTCTCATAAATTGGGAAAAATCCATGGTGACCCCGATGCAGAAAATAGAATTTCTGGGTTTTGAAGTCGATTCGGTCGCCCAGTTCTTGTTCCTTCCAGAGGCCAAGCTAAAGGCTATGAAGAAGGAAATAAGACGTACGCTGCGGACCACTTCTCTCTCCGTACGACAACTCGCGAGGTTGATCGGCCTTTTGGCCTCCTCCATTCAGGCGATTTTTCCAGGGACCCCTACATTATCGAGCACTGCAACGTCTGAAGGGGTCCCACCTTCGCTCGGGCAGTTCGTACGAAAGCGAACTACGCCTGGACAGAGACTCCAAAGAGGAACTACGGTGGTGGTTGGATCATATGGAGGCATGGAACGGTCGAGCAATCTTCGGTGCCGCTCCGGATATGGTGATAGAATCGGATGCCAGCCTGCATGGTTGGGGCGCTCGCTGTGGAAATGTCTCCACAGGTGGCAGATGGTCCAAAATCGAAACTACACATAAACTGTCTGGAATTACTGGCGGGATCATTCGCAGCCTGCCTCCAACTCTGGGAAACTGCTGCGTCCTTCTACGCATGGACAATGTGTCCGCGGTCAGATATATAAATCACCTAGGTGGCACCAAATCAAAACTACTGGCGAAGGACTTCGGGCAGTTTTGCCTCCACAACGCGGTGTCGGTTACGGCCGAACACATCCCGGGCTTGGACAACGAATGGGCGGATTGGAATTCGCGCTACTTGAAAGACTCGGGAGATTGGCACCTGCTGCCTTCGATCTTCCGACAGATCAACTATGGGGCCTGTTAAAACTGGACTTATTTGCATCCAGACTGAACTCTCAACTACCCCATTAGTTCAGTTGGAGGCCGGATCCGTCAGCCACCCTGGTGTGTCTCGGACGTTCCGCAGGCTACTACAAGACTCCTGGAGAATGCCTGGGCACCAGGTACCAGAACAGCTTACAAATCTGCATGGCGTGTGTGGTCTGGCTGGTGCATGGGAAGACTGCTGGATCCCCTTTCTGCCCCTCTGAAGGAGGTGCTCAGTTTTCTGACTACACTTTTTGAATCTGGTTTGGCCTACCGCACTATTAATGTTAATAGATCGGCCATCTCGGCCGGACATCTAGGTATTGACGGATCACCGGTTGGACAACATTCTCTTGTATGTCAACTCTTGAAGGGTATCCGTTACTCTAGGCCTCCGAAATCCAGATATTCATCATTTTGGGATGTTAACGTAGTGCTGGGCTTCTTGGAATCGTGGCCCCTTAATGAGGAGCTGTCGCTGAAGCAATTATCCTGGAAACTGGTTATGCTTCTGTGTCTCCTTTCATGCAAAAGGGGTTTCGGTTGTCAGGGCTTTGGACTGGAACGCATTATCCTTCACCCACGAGGGAGTGTCGTTTAACATCTCTAGGAGGACTAAGACATCTTCTAAGTCGGTGACCTACCCTAGGTGTTCAGTCCGACCTGCTCTGTGTCTGGTAGCTTGCCTACGAGTGTACTTGGATCGCACTCACCAATTGAGGTCTTTGGATTTATCCCAATTGTTTATTTCCTTTAGGAAGCCGTTTCTCCTGATCTCCTCGACTACGTTAGCTCGTTGGATTAAGAATCTTCTTTCCGCTGCAGGGATCGATACCTCAATATTTTTGGCTCATTCGGTCAGAGGCGCCGTGGCGTCAAAAGCTTCTACGATGGGATGTCATCTGGATGATATCTTGAAGGCAGCGGATTGGTCTAGAGAATCTACGTTCCGTGATTTTTATTGCCGCCCGATTGACCATGTTTCCTCGTTAGTTGTGGCTCAGCTTTAAACTAGCATAATAGGAGCCTCCGTGTCATTAATAAAATTCCTAGATTTTACTATTAACATGACGTAAAGTCATGATTTTATTAATGACACGGAGGCGAGTATTATTCCCACCCACCCGCCCGTTGGGTATGGTTTGGGTCTATACTTATGGTTCAATAGGGGAGGGGATCTTTTACCTCAAGGTAAGTGTTCACGGTTTTTCTCTTGGTTTATGACGTATATGGGTCTATTTACTTATGTGTTTTACGACAGTTGGTGTATATAGTCCTACAGGCCAGATTGTCATGATATGTTACGTTCAGATCCGGAGTTTGGATTTTACCTACTATTTCTCTGTTTTACAGCTTGATTTCGTTGTGATGACGTCTACCTTGTTGGAGATTGTTCTTTCCTGATGTGGATATTTGGTTTGGGTCTTCGGTTCAGAAGGCAAAGAAGAGGAAGTGGAAGTACTAAGCAAGACATTTATGGACTGTTCCTGCTAAGCTGATTGGCTGCCCTGTTACTAGGCAGATCTGGTTGTACCTGTTGTTATTATATTTCATATTTACATTTTTTCTCTTTCAGTTTTATATTTCTCTTTGCTGCTGAGGGATAAAGTAAGAAAGAGCATACTACTCGCCTCCGTGTCATTAATAAAATCATGACTTTACGTCATGTTAATAGTAAAATCTGGGAATTGATACAGCCAGAGACAAATGCATTTCTGAAATTGGATATTTTATGTGCCATTTAAATACAATTTTGAAAAGCTTGTGGGTTATCATATCAGGCTGGAATAATCACTGTAGTATTAGTGATTGTAATGAAAAGTTCCTACATCGAAATATGTAATCAAATTTGTATAGAATGGAAATATTTTGATCTCGTTAACAATGCATCTATTAAGCTACAAGAAAGGCTAACATGTTGTAAAACACAAGAAATAATAATCCAGTACACCCTCAGCATCCCCCCCACTATCACCCCCTCAGCATTAACCTCCTCTCACACCCTCAGCATCACCCCCCTCCCTCAGCGTCACCACCCTCTGCATCACCCCCTCAGCATCACCCCCCTCACCATCCTCAGCATCACCCCCTTTTTTTAGCGTTACCTCAAGTAGCATGACAATTTTGGTGCATCGCCTGAACACTTGACCACTTCAGCTGCACACATAGTGTTAGGCAGTTTGCTACCAGAGTTGTAACTCCACATCTGGAAGAATCATTAGCATCATTAGACAGCATCCTGGTTGCCTAATGTTAAATCTGTGTAAATTTAACATCTGTTGTTAGAACGCACAGCATGCTGGAGACAGACAACCAATGGTTGGAACCCCATGACGTCGCTCAAGTCCTCCCGTCGTCCCGGACGCCCCTTGCCCGGCTATGATGAGGAGTGACATCAATAGATGTATATCAAACTACTAGAAAGACTTTGCCTTGCCATGGGACCTCATGTAAGTTTATTTTATTTCTATTTTGTTTTCTTAATTACACTTTAAGTTTGGCATACGCATGACATTTCAACCATGTTTTGGTCTTTATGCCAGTACTGGGTTTATTTTTTTGAATATTTAATCTTTATTTTAAATTTTTTTCTTTTAAATCTCATTAAATACATATATCATACAAATACAAATATCATACAAACAAACAACACAGCAGCAAAATAGGGGAGGGAGAAGAAAAATACATCAGAAAGACTTCCATAGTAGAGTGGTAATATCATTTAGATAAATCTCATAATTATTTACAATGTTCATGGAATTGTTCTACTACTAATTGAGCGACACTATTTTATACATCAATCATCTCAATACACTTTAACCAAACAGAAATCTTATTGCTTAGTCTTTGTTTACTTAGCATCAGCTCCATTCTAATCTGAAACTCGAGTTGAGTTTTAACTTTCTTCCAGGGGACTTCTGAATCCCTTTTCCACCATCTCGCAATTACTATTTTAGCCGCTAAAAACAGATGTATAAGAATTGCTTTTAATTCATATGTCATATGAGGCCAATTTAGATGAAGTAGAACTACCTCTGGAGAGATAATCAACTCGAGTTTTAAATTGTTAGATATAAAATGCTGCATTTTCAACCAGAGATTTTTTAATTTATAGCAATCCCACCAAATATGTCTAAAATTGCCTCTAATACTATTGCATCTCCAACAGATAGGATTTACTAGAGGGTAAATTTTATTCAATTTAGCTGGTACTAAGTACCACCTATTTAAAACTTTAAAGTGCGTTTCTAATAAATTTAATGAATGTATATTCTTCTTAACATCCATCATTGAAGAACCCCATTGATTCAGATTTATATCGATATTCAAGTCTTGTTTCCAAGCCTGTATGGCAGTAGGATTTGTGTCTTTAGCTATTGATTTAATTAGTATTAGAGCTTTAGAAAGTGGTTTATTAACTTTTTTTGATATAAATAATAAATCTATCGAATTGCTTAAATTAGATTTTGGTATTATTAGATGTGTATTAATATAGCTTTTAAGTCTTAGAAAATTAAACACCTCTCTAGGAGGGAGATTATGTATCTCTGTTATTTGAGCAAAGGTTTTAATTAGTCCTTCTGTCAATAATTGGTCCAGAGTCGTTATCCCTACTTTTTTCCAATTATTTAAGTTTAAGTCTTCCACTTGTTTTTCTACAATATCTAACTCTAAATAACTTGGAACTTTTTTTTCTATATTCATTACTTTTTTAATTTTTAACCAATTTTCCAATAATTGAGTTAGAATAATACTGGCATATTCTTTTTTCTTTGGCATTTTATTTATATTCCAAATTAGACAATCTAAGCTAGAAACTTCTCCTGCCTTCAATTCCATTTTATACCATCCCTCATCTTTATTTTCTTTCATTTGCATTCTATAGACATGTAGGGTAATAGCTGCTTTAAAGTTATTCATTATGAGTGGATAATCAAGTCCACCTTTATATATTTTCTGCGCTAATATTGACTGTTTCAATCTCGGCTTCTTGCCTTTCCAGATGTATTGAGTAAAACTTCTTTGTATTAATTGAAGCCAATGGATTGGGATATGGAGAGGTAACATTTGAAACATATAATTCCACTTTGGTATAACATATGAATTGATAACATTTATTCGCCCCAAAAAAGTAATCTCTAGGTTTCTGCGATCTTTTAACCATTTATTGAGATCTAATAATAATGTTAGGAAATTTACTTCCATAATCTTATTTGTCTCTCTGGTTATTTTAATTCCTAAGTAATCCATACTTTCTTTAACCCAAATAAAATCATATTTGTTTTTAATCTCTCGTTGTATCCTTTTATTTAGGTTAACATCTAATATCAAGGACTTATTTATATTTAACTTATAATTTGATATGAAGCTATATCGCTCTATTTCTTGCATTATGCGTTCCAAAGAATTTTTAGGGTTTGTAAGAGTAATTAAAATGTCATCAGCATATAAGCTAATTTTTTGATCCTCATCCATTATTTTATAACCATGGATCTCTTTATTATTCCTAATATTCTCAGCCAATGGCTCGATAGTCAGCAAGTAGAGCAATGGTGAGAGGGGACAACCCTGTCGGGTACCATTTCTAAGTTGGAACCATGGGGCGACTATATTAGGTCCAATAGTTCGTGCAACAGGATTTACATATAGTGCCATTATAGCTTTCTTAATCCAACCTTCCAATCCATAATGTTGTAAAACGGCTTCTAAATATTTCCAGCTGACTCTGTCGAATGCTTTTTCAGCATCAATCGACAGAGTCAGAACTGGAACATCATATCTATTTGCGTCATCCAAGATATTAATAATTTTCCTTATACTTGTATAGGAATTTCTACCTGGAACATATCCTATTTGATCTTTATGGATGATTAGTGGAAGAAGTTTTTTTATTCTAGCAGCCAAAACCGAAGCGTATAACTTAGTGTCAACATCTATTAAAGATATCGGACGGTAGTTTTTGATATCAGTGGGGTTTTTATCATTTTTTAGAATAGGCAAGATATTAGCTTTTAGCATCTCTGCTGGTAAAAATCCTCTGTTTGCCGCTATGTTGAAAGCAGAGGTCAAATGTGGACATATTAAATCTTTAAATGTTTTATAAAATAGGTTGCTAAACCCATCCGGGCCTGGTGTTTTAGATCTTTCTAAATCATTTATTGCTTTCATAGTCTCCTCCATAGTTATAGGTTTATTTAAGAAATCATTTTCAATAGAAGTTAATTGAGGCTTCTTTATGTTATTTAAATAGTTTTTAATATCCTCATCTGTATTGATCTGAGGAATATTGTATAGATTGGAATAATATTCATTAAAACACTTTCCAATCTCTCTGGGGGTTAGTGCTATTTTTCCATTCTGTATTATTTTGTCTACCTTATTTTGTACTTTTTGTTTTCTAAGTTTTTGGGATAGCATCTTTTCAGCTCGATTGCCTTTGGAATAATATTTAAATTTTAATCTAACCATATTTTTAGCTATCATGTCCATTAATTTTTGCTTTATTTTTTCTTTAAGTTCTAATATTTTTTCATAAATTTCAGGAGATGGAGATTGTTTATTGATATGAGTCAAATCTCTTAATTCTGTATGTAAAAATGCCAAAGTATTATTTTTATCAAGTTGGCTTTGTAACTTGATAATATGACCTCTTATAACGGCCTTGAAGGCACACCACAAAATAGATGAATCAATATTTTCTGAGATATTTTCTTTAAAATAATTTTTTATATTATCTCTTATATGAGTTTTTTTTAATTCACAACAAAGCAAATTATCTCTTAGCCGCCAAGTATAAGCTTCTCTTTTAAGTGTACTAAAAATCATTTCACAAAAAACTCCATCGTGGTCTGTCCATACTATCTCGTCAATCTTTGTTTTTTTGGTCATATCAATAATACTTGGGTCGACCCAAATCATGTCTAATCTTGAATAGGAAAAATGCACTTTAGAAAAATGCGTATAGTCTCTCTCATTAGGATTAAAAATTCTCCAAATATCGAATAGATTATATTCATCTTTAATTTTTTTTAAGGCTTTTGCTTGTTTTATAACCATCTGATATAAAGTATTTCCTTTCATTAATTTTTTATCTATCTGAGGGTCTAGTACAGCATTGAAATCCCCTGCCACTATTAACTTTCCCACTTTAACTTCATCTACTTTTTCCAGAATTGTTTTTAAATAGGCAACTGGTAAATGATTAGGAAGATATATATTACATAATGTAAAAAGTACAGAGTCAATTTTACATATTATTATTAAATACCTGCCTTTAGTGTCTTGTATTTGATGAATTACTTCAACTTTAATCTTTTCTCCAAATACCACAGCTACTCCACATTTTTTTTTTTCCTTATTGGAAGCTTGAATTATAAGTGGAAATCTTTTACCCCCCCAATTTTGTTTATCCGCTTGTCTCCAGTGAGTTTCTTGTAAGAATATTAAATTCAATTGTTTTTCACTGAGGTATTTGTACAATAGATTTCTTTTCGCTATAGTATTCAATCCCTGAACATTAAGTGTAAGC